GTGCCGGACTGTTCTTGTCCTTCAGCTCCGCACACCTTCTCTTCATTTTCCAACACGCCAAGATACGATGTCCTGTAGCGCCGCAAAATATGCACGTCTCATTATTTGCTAGCCGCTGCTCCACATCGCCCTCGTCGTTCTCCATCGGGTCGGCAGTCGTGGGTGGTGCCAATCGCCCCATGCCACTAGTTGGCTTGTTGCGTCGTGTTCCGTAGTAGCTACTGTTCAACGTGTCGAACTATTCGATCAGTGCTGCCGGAACCTGCGCCCACGTCCCCTCGCCTTAGACTATTCTGTTGTTGATCCACTCTAGAGCTGGGCCTCGTAACAGTGTTGCTGCGAGCCGTATGCGCATTGCGTCTTTTGTCGGGGTCGTGCATCCAACGGCTTCGAAGTAAATTTCGAGTTCAGCTACAAATCGACGAACGTCGTTCCTTTTTACTGTAGGATCGAACGCCTCCGCTAGCCTCAGCTTCACTGCTTCGAGGCTAACTATAGCTGCTGTCGTTGTCGCATGTAGAATTGTCGGTGTAGCCGCTGCTGCTGCTGCTACTATTGTCGCTGCTGCTGTGGCGGTTGCCGACTGGTTCGCAAGGAGTTTTTCGAGTCGTGGGAGCGGCACGTATTTGCTTATGTTCAGCACGTAACTCCGCGATTTTCTGTACTGAAATATCTCCTTTTCCCTCCATTTGGTGATTTACAGGAAGATGCGCGACGAAAATAATCGAATTCTAGGTGTTGGTCGACTTACTGCGAGTCAAATTGACTGTAGAATCGACGAGCGCGATTTCTGTAGGTTGCGTAAATCTCCCTTAAGCAAAATTCGCGTCCGATCTTGGCCGTTGAGGAGAAAATCGATCCGACGCTCCAAATTCCAACTTTTTTGGGCGAAATTCTCAGGGCCGTTGAGATGAAACTCGATCGAACGGTCGAAACTCCAACCTTTCCACCAGTAAATCTGAGGGGTGTTCGAAAACCGAATCGAGGGGAACTTAGAAAAATTGCGCGGAACTGGTTTTACATACCCGTATCGGCGCTTTCATCGTCGCCCCCGCGGTTTTTAAAGGCCGGAACTAAGCGGTTGAAGACCTCGCGTGTAAACCCGCTCTGATTACCAAGTGTGAGGATCTGGGATCGAGCTCAGAAAAGATGATTCAAATTGAATTGAATGATCACCTGGGTACAGCACGAGGCTATATATAGGCTCGACACAAGGCCCCGTAACCAGGTGTTACGCGAAGGTTCCGCGGGTCGCGAAGCGTCCCGAACAGATCCTTACCGAATTCGGTAGAAGGCAATTCGGTGGCAACCGAAAAGCCAGAATTCGGTGCACGCAACCTAGCTCGGTGCTATAACTTTAATAAAATATAGGAAAGCGCCTAGCCTAGGAAATCAAGCAATTCATGCATGCATATGATTATCCTATGCTAGAAATAGCATGATTAAGTAAAGGCAAGCAAGCATAGCTGGCATAAGCCGTCGTACTCTCACATATATGATCTTGCATGTGAACTGGCCTTTTGGCCTTGCTCTTGTGCTCGGATTGTGTGGTGACTTTGTGATCCACCCTGAGCTTGCTTTGCTTTGCTTGACTGGTCTTGTGACCTCTTGTTCTCCCCCACTTTGCCTATGGGGGTGTGTCAAACTCATATTGTATAGCTTGTGTAGGCTATAGTGGGGTAGACACTATGGGGTACAGTTTCCTAGGGTTTCCTACTTGTACCCAACTTTGTGCTAGTTCTTTTTCATTCCTCAATTCTCACACTAAGTGTCAGCTGCAATTTTCGTACGGTTGCGGTATTTACTAAACTGTGGCTTGCTCCTTCGTCGATAAAAATCTTCACTGCTGCTCCGTGTATTTTCCCATGGATCAGTACTGGGCAATCCGACGCTGTACCCTCCTTATTCGACCGAGTCCGATCGATAGCATGAATCGAGACTGTGAGTCGGTGAGGGTCGGTGAGGCTGGGCGAGCAGGCAGTCTCGTCAGTAGTTGGCCCGATTCCTACTGACTGCTGGCGTTTCTCTGCCTTGGAAACTCCCTCCCCTGCTCTGCTCTGCAGCGCCTTAGCTCCTCTGGGAATTCGCTCTTGCGATGGCCCAACCTAATGCAAGCAAAGCAGCGCCCCTTAAACGGCGCGGCAGCTGCATTTGTCGCAATAGCGTGTACAGTGGCGTGCTCGATCGGTCCCCGAGGACGATGTCCATAGTAGGACCCCGGTCTCGGACGGCGTAAAATGTCGATTTTCTCGGCGAGCGCGAGAATCTCGTTGAAGTTCGAGAGCCCGCGTAGCATGATTTCGTGCGAGATTTCCGGCTTCAGCCCTCTGACGTAACGGTCCACCCGCTCTGCTTTGTGCATGTAGCCGACTTGCTCGCATAATGCGAGAAAACCACTCGTACAGACTTGAACCGATCCGAGCTGCCGCCAAGTGCGCAATCTCTGACGCGCCGAAATAGAAGCCGCGATCGGCTCGAAGCGCACCCGAAGCCCTGCGCACCACGCATCCCACGTGCTGTATTGGGCGGTCTCGCAGAATGAACTCCAGGTGATAGCTGGGCCCTTGGGCCATTCCTCTTGCGATGGTGGCTCGTAGGCGCGTGGCGACGTCACGATGACTCGCCACCTGTCCATGGCGGGGCCCCTTAGCACCGAAACGGCATACCGAATCTTCGCTGCGTCCGACTCGACGTAATTCGCGTCGAAGAAGACGTTCATCGTGAAGACCCACGATTGAACCGTCGGACATCCGCACTGGCTCGCGTCGAAGCAGGGCGGGCGTTGCGGCTTGAGTGGCATTGGTGCCATAATGGCTTGTTCGCCACTTGTCGCCATGAACTCCACGTGCCGACGGGCTTCGCGAGGCTCCCGCGGGCTTGGTGCGACCCTGTTTCCTCCCATGCCAGGCATCGGCTGGGCGGTGCCATCGCTGGCTGCGCCTAAGCACTGTCCCACGCTGTTGTTTTGTGTTGGTGTGCCGGACGAGATGACGATCGGCTCGTCTGATTGTGCAGATGCATTTGTCGGTGCGTGTGGTGGCGCTGGAGTGTTCATCGTTGATTGCTGACGCGCGGAGTCACGTTCCGCCGTGAGCGTCGCAATTTCGAGCGCCGAATCTTCAAGTTGGCGCACCAGACGGTCGAGTTGCTGCTGCGTCAATGTGGCGAGTGTGAATTCGGCCATGGCGGGGGCGTCGGGCGAGCTCAGCGAGAGCCTCAGTCGTGGCCGTGTGTGCTTACGAGAGAGCACTACGAGCGGCGGTGCTGTGTCGATGAGAGACGTGAGGCCCCCCCAAAAATTGAGATAGTGGGGAAGCGAAGGTGTGGGTGCGGTCCGAGAAAAGATCGTAGGCTCTGAATACCAAGTGTTACGAGTGCAATTCAGTGAACGAACGAGAATTGTACTATCGAAGCAAGAGTCCAATGAGCGAAGGCATGAGCGAAGAATATATAGCGAAACTACAGTGGTAACGGTAATGGACTGTGGTTGTCGCGCAACGGGCCTGGGACTGAGGTTGGGAAAAGTGTCGAAGCGGAGGCCCAGAGCGCGGGTTACCCACCGAGCCGTGAGGTCGGGGTGCGACGTGCGAAGGTGGCGGGCGGATTGTTGATGCGAGGGTTGCGAGTGGTAACGGTGCTGATTGTGGTGCTACAGTGATGTACGCGTTGAGCGGAGATGCCAAGTAAGGAAAAGGAATTTTCCTTACACTCACCATCCGATGTAACTTTCTGCCCATCGATTCGAGGATTTACAGCTGTCGATTTAGAATCTTTAAAACTCGAGAAGATTCCGCCCCTGACCAAAACAAAAATCTCCGTCGTGAGTTCATGGGAGTTTCTTTGTGATGCCTGTGTTCCTAGAACTCTCCGCAAAATTGTTTAGGGCGTGTCCAGCGCGTACAGTTTGGGAATATTAGTACCTTCACACGTTCCCGGCTCAAAATATCTCGCTGTACCAAAAAACGAATATAAGGCGAGTCGAGTCCGAAGGAGTGGGCCTTCCTGCGCGCGGACACAACCCTCTGCACTCAGATTTCTACAATTCATGGAAAACGAGGTAACTGTTTGCCTCGTCTATCGTCGCACAGAAATTCACGCACAAGCGAAAATTCATCGCTTGAACGAAAATTACTGAAGCGGGCAGGACGCAATGCTGTATCATTGTTCGCGCGTAAACTGATTCCAGTAACGTGTGTTAGACGATTCGTCGTACGTGCAGCGGGCGTGCCGTCTTGTGTACGGAAGCTGATCTTGTCCAACCTTTTTGTAAAATGCAGTGTTACAAAAGAATATGTGGTAACCTAACAGGTTTATGAACTGTGAATGTACGCTGGACACGCCCTCCGCTTGCGCTTGAGAATCGCGAGAGTCTGTGCTCACCCTGTAATACCTCCACTACCACGACGAACTCAAGGGTTCTGCCCACCTCCGCGCACAGTGTGACTTCCGTACAATCCACAATCATGCTTAGTGATTGGGTTTCACCTCCAAGAACAACAGCTGTCGGGGGGGGTGTACATCCGCGTGGTGTTCCGACAAGGCGGCTTGCCACAGACAAACTTTGTTTGTTTTTTTTTTTTTTTTAGGCCAACCTGGGTTCCCGTTTCTGGAACCTCGGCCCAAGGTTCCTGGGGAGACACCTAAGGCCGCGTTCTCTGCTAGCGTCAGGCAGGCGGACATGAGGCGTGAAGGGTTTGGATTTGATTGATGATGACGTGGAACAATCGATGCTGTCGATAGCCTTGTGTCAGGATGATTGACACCGGTCGAAAACCCGCCCTAAGATTGATTATGACAAGATCCTGGAGCACACCGCAACCGTTTCTCCGCCTGACGCCTACAAAGTCCACTCAGTGGACTGCTGTTGCTTCATTCTCTTCAATCTATCGAGCTGTCAGCCGTCCCGTTATCACCGCACTCCGAGAGTCACAATGTCGTCATGCTGCGGGCCTAAGGCTGTCCCTGCCCCGACTGAGGCGAAGAGCGGTTGCTGCAGACCCATGGAATCTAATAGCACCTGCGCCGCTTCCACCGCCGCTGCGATCGGCGGCGGCGGGAGCGACGTGACGCATGCTGACATCAGCGAGTATTACGGGAAGACGGTGCAGAAGCAGTCGGATCTGCAGACGTCAGCATGCTTGGTGAAGGGCGGCTTGGGCGAGGACATTCGCCGCCTGCTCAGCAACGTCCACGATGAGATCTTGTCGAAATTCTACGGCTGTGGTTCACCGATCCCTCCCCTGCTCAAGGTACAGTGGTGTGAAAATGATCTTAGCCGTTCATCGGCCCCGATCTCCTCTCCTCACATCCCGTTCCCGCACCTTGCTCCGTTATAAGACGTTCGAGCTGGTTGTTTGATCTCCCACCGTTACACATTTGATGTGGTTGTTTTATCTTAGCTTCTCGTCGAATCCATACTTGCTTCTGGTGCCAGCATGCTCTTGAACCTCTCTGGCTCTCTTTTTTCTCTGTTGGATTCCAACACGCAGGAACTCTTCTCATCCCATAACTGGTTCCTCGCCTTTCTCTCTTAGTTTCTCCCACATCTCATCCCCTCCCCTCCTCCATCCCCCTGCTTCCCCCCGCCTTCCCCCCCCCCTCCTCCCACTCGCTTCCCCCCGCTCCCTCCTCACTCCCGTTCCCTTTCCCCCTCTACGCATTTCTTGCCTCATCTCCCTCTCGTCGTCTTCTCGTAGCAATGTACGGTGCTGATCTGCGTGCGAGTCAACTCAAACGGACCCCTCTCCCTTCTCCCCTCCCTCCTCGCCGCAAGGCTGCACTGTGCTGGAACTAGGATGACAGTCAACAAGAGGGCATCCCTCCCCACTCCCCTCCCTCCTCACCGCAATGCTGCACGGTGTTGGATTTGAGTACACTCTCATCTCCCCTCTCCTCCCACTCCTCTCCCCTCTCCCCCAACCTTCCCATCTTCTCCCTCCTCCCCGCAGGGCTGCACGGTGCTGGATCTGGGGTGCGGAACAGGGAGGGATGTCTACGTGGCAGCTCAGCTTGTGGGGCCCACAGGCCAGGTCATCGGTGTCGACATGACAGGTCAGCAAGGATATTAGTGGGGGGATAAGCCGCGAAAGGAAGCGGGAACGAAGGCGTGAGGATGTTAGTGCCGCAGCCAGCCATTCCTGACAGCCTCTTCTCTTCACCTCCCGCCTCCTCCTCCTTCCCATTCACGATCCCTAATTTGCATCCATGTTCGTCACCCATGTCCATGCATGTTCGTCACCCATGTCCATGCATGTTCGTCACCCATGTCCATGCATGTTCGTCACCCATGTCCATCCATGTTCGTCACCCATGTCCATGTTCGTCACCCATGACCATGATTGTCGTTCATTTATGCCACCCATGTTTTTCAACAAACCCTGAGGGCATGCATTCTTGAATCCATGTTTTGTTCTCTCTTTTCTCCGCATCCCTAACCAACGCCTTCCTCTCCCTCCCCCCCTCCCCTTCTTCCTTTCCTCTTCATTTCCGTTCGTCTTCACCCATTCCTCCTCCTGCATCGTCCCTCTCATACACAGACGAGCAGCTGGCAGTGGCACGGAAGCACGAGGAGTACCACCGGGAGAAGTTCGGATTCGCCGAGTCCAACGTGTCGTTCAGGAAGGGGTTTATAGAGGATCTCAAGGCTGCTAATGTCGAGGACAGGTGGGTGGCTGTGTGTGTGGTTGTTGGGTGTGTGGGTGGTTAGGGGTTGGGGGAGGTTGAAAGGGGTTGAGGGGGGTTCAATGGTTTGGTTTTGAGTGGGTAACACAGTAGCTAGGCTGGAATTCGGGTGTTGTAGAGGAGATGGAATAAAGTTGGGCTTTACCCCGTTCCCCAACCTCTCTCCCCCCCTCCTCCCCCCCCCCCCCCCCCCCCCCCCTTCCTTGTCCCTCCCTTCTCCTCTCTCTCCTCTCAAATGCGTCCAACTGGGTTTTGGGTCAACTCAAAACTCACCCAAATGACTTTTGAGTCGACTCAAATGTCAACTCTAGCACGGTAGCAAGGTTGGGGTTTGGCTGTTGCAGAGGAGATGGAATAAAGTTAGGCTGTACCCCGTTCCCACACCTCCCGCCCTTCCCTCCCTCCCTTCCCCTCACTCTCCTTTCAAATGCGCCCAACTGCGGCATTCATCTCACGCCCAGCAAATTGCCTATAATCCCTACTTCATGCCATCTTTCTCCCTTATCTTGTCCCTCTCTTCGTCCATCCTTCTTCTCTCCTCTCCCCCGACCCCGAACAGCTCAGTGGATGTGGTTGTATCAAACTGCACCATCAACCTCACTCCCAGCACGGCCAACTCACGATCCCACCCACCTCACGTCCCCCCACACCCTTCCCCTTTCCCTCGCCAACTCACGACCCCACCCACCTCAAGTCCCTCCCCCCCACCCCCTTCCCCTTTCCCTCTCCCCCAAACAGCTCAGTGGATGTGGTTGTGTCAAACTGCACCATCAACCTCACGCCCGTCAAGTTGCCTGTCTTTTCCGAGATCGCCCGCGTGCTCAAACCGGGCGGCGAGCTCTACTTCTCGGACGTGTTTGCCGACCGGAGAATCCCCCAGCACCTGCGACAGGACAAGGTGAGGCCGAGGACTGGTTATCAGTTGTTGCAGAAGAGGACTGGATATAATTCATTGCTGGGTTTTTTTTTTTTTTTTCCCATACCAATCACTGTGCCTCGTCCCCAACCAACATTCCTCTTTAACCAACGATCACCTAACCAGTGCACTTTACCTGGATCACTTTCGGGAATTCTTAACTTTCAGCATTCAGCATCTCATGGCTTCCCATCACCTCTATTTGCATCTCACCCTCTTCGCATCGGCATCAGGTTCTCTTTGGCGAGGGTTTCAGCGGTGCCCATTACTTGGAAGATTTCCGGCGCCTCATGGCCTCGGTGGGTTTGGGTGGGTGGGGAGTGGTGGAGGCTCGACAACTCCACGTGGATAACCCCAAGATTGCCGCCCAGATCGGCCCGATCAAATATTACAGCTTCACTGTTCGGGCGGTGAAGCTGCCCGAAGGGGAAGGCGTGGACCTGCCCGAGAATTACGGGCAGACGGCGACATATTCCGGGTCTATTCCCGAGAAAGCGGGGGAATTTGCCCTGGATGATGTGAGGGTGTTCAAGACAGGTGTGCCCACGCCTGTGGATGCTACAACTGCTGCCGTGCTGGAAAAGTCACGCTACAACAGTGTGTTTACTGTCACTGAGAAGGGTGCTCACCAGGGGGTCTTTACTGGTTGGCCAAGGTTTCCGGCTTCGGTTGCTGGTGCTTGGTGGTCTGCTACTGTTGAGAAGGTGAAATCTGGTTGCTGTTAGATTGATTGATATCGAGTGATCATTACTGTAGTGCTGTGCGCTATGTGTTTCTTGCTGAGATTGGAGTACTGAACAGAAACCTGCGTATTCGGTGGAACTGCAAATACCGTGTCACTCAAAAGGGGACAGGCAAGAACGAGAAATCTTGGGATGCGACTTGAGGTGGCCCAATCCTACCCTGAGCTCCTGGTAGAAGTTGCGGGCGAGGTTGCATTAGAGAGGAGAAAAAAATATTTCTGTATGGTATTTGAGGAGTTAATATTGCTGCAAATGCGGACTTATCCCGATAGAACACTTACGGTGCCACACTTTACTGCATGGCATGCCGGGTGACCAAACCTTCATAAGGAGTCTCGGCCCGAATCTCTTAAGAGTTTCTTCAAAATATTTCAGTTCCCTGATATTTTACTTGTAATTAGAGCTTCATTTTGCGTATTCGTTATTCGGGAACTCTCCTAAACAGCTTATGAGAGTAGTAGCTTTGAATAAAAACAGTTACAAGTGCGTACATGTTCACTCATCCGGAATCTCCCGTGAAAGATTCCCCAACCTTGAATTCCTGGAAATTGCGTTTTGATATTTGCACTTCTAGAACCCTCCACACGAGCCCGAACTACTTCGGTCTGTATTCTCGAAATGTTGGGTGTATTCTCAGACTGCTTCGGATGCAAACCAGACACAAGGTGGGTGTATTGAATTTCAACTGCAAGTTCGTGTCCGAGGTTGACGCGGTGAAAGTGCTCGATCAGGGGGATATCGATTCGGTCACCACACTGAAACCCCGCGTTTTGCATACGAAAGGACAACTTTTATGACCGCGCGAAAAAACGATCCTTAGGGGATCAATTCTCCGCTTTCACCGCGTATGCGTGTCATACACGAAGCGCGCGTGATTTTGCGTGTCAATCAGTGTAGCGTCGGTGTCAGCCCAATATTTCGCCAACCTAAACTCCATATCCGCAGGGGTGTTTGTGTGACCTGCTCGAAACCCACAGGGGCAATTGGTTTCTCCAGCGCAACATCTGTTCAGAGGTGAAGCTGGGTTTCCGTTGCGCTTCCATGCATGCTGTAGGTACGCCCTTGGGAACGTCTCTCGTCTTGACTTAAACAGACCCAAGGAGCAGCACAATACAAGGCGATCCATTTTCTTGCTTGCTGCCTACAAGCCTCTACCGATGTTGATTCGTTCTCTTCAATCATCCTTCATCCGCCGTCCTTTAGCCACATCATTCGTCATGTCGTGCTGTAACAAGACAACCACCGCTTCCGTCGCCAAGCCGACGTCGTGCTGCGGGCCGAAAGCTTCCGCCGCTCCGTCGGAAGCCAAGGCGGCGACTTCATCGTGCTGCGGGCCTAAGACTGCTCCCGCTCCGACTGAGCCTACTAAGAGCAGCTGCTGCGGCCCTAAATCCGCCGCGTCTCCCGCCGCTGGAACCGGCGCTGGAAGCGACGTGACGCATGCTGACGTGAGCGAGTATTACGGGAAGACGGTGCAGCAGCAGACGGATCTGCAGACGTCAGCGTGCCTGGTGAAGGGCGGCTTGGGGGAGGACATTCGCCGCCTGCTCAGCAACGTCCACGACGAGATCTTGTCAAAATTCTACGGCTGTGGCTCACCGATCCCTCCCCTGCTCAAGGTACTGTGATGTCAAGTGATCTTAGCCGTTCGTTAGGCCCGAACATTCTTCCCATCTCATCTCTTCCCTAACGGCAGTTTCTCTTCGTCAGAAAACATTTGAGCTGGTTTTTTTTATCGCTCCGTTACTACACATTCTAAATTTCACTTTTCGCCTCGGCGCCAGCCAGCATGGTCATTATTCTCCCTGGTGGCTCCTCTGGCTCCCTTTGTTCTCCCCCCCCTTCGCACCCCCGTTTTCCTCGTTTGTATTCCACCGTAGCTCATGTTCGCCTGTCCTCCCCTTTTCTCTCGCTCCCTCCCACCTCCTGCATCCCCTGGCTCCCCTCGTTCTCCACTTCCTTTCCTCTCCTCTTCTCGCTCCCACCGTCTTCATGTTTCGATTCACTGTGCTTAAGAGGTCCCTCCTCTTCCCTCCCCTCCCTCCTATCCTCTTCCCTCCCCTCCCCTCCCCTCCCCTCCCCTCCCCTCCCCTCCCTCCTATCCTCTTCCCTCCCCTCCCCTCCCCTCCCCTCCCCTCCCTCCTATCCTCTTCCCTCCCCTCCCCTCCCCTCCCCTCTCCTCCCTTCCCCTCTCCTCCCCTCTCATCCGCTCCTGCAGGGCTGCACGGTGTTGGATCTGGGGTGCGGAACAGGGAGGGATGTCTACGTGGCAGCTCAGCTGGTGGGGCCCACAGGCCAGGTCATCGGGATCGACATGACAGGTCAGCAAGTGTGACGAGGGAGGGAGATGCTGGGACGAGGGAGGGAGAGGGTAGGTGGACGAGGGAGGGAGAGGGTAGGTGGACGAGGGAGGGAGAGGGTAGGTGGACGAGGGAGGGAGAGGGTAGGTGGACGAGGGAGGGAGAGGGTAGGTGGACGAGGGAGGGAGAGGGTAGGTGGAGGGAGCGACACTGAGCGCGAGCTAATGATTGAAAACATAAGTGCTGGGTGGGTACGTGCCTAGGAAACGTTCCCAACAACCCCTTCACCTACCACTCCTCCTCCTCCTCCTCCTCCTCCTCCTCCTCCTCCTCCTCCTCCTCCTCCTCCTCCTCCTCCTCCTCCTCCTCCTCCTCCTCCTCCTCCTCCTCCTCCTCCTCCTCCCCCTCCTCCTCCTCCTCCTCCTCCTCCTCCTCCTCCTCCTCCTCCGCCCTTCAATCTCGACCCCACAGCCCCATAGTCATTACGAGCAGGCATTGCCAGTATGCACATTTTTCTCAATTATATTGCTCTTCCTCTGCTCCCCCTCTCCCTTCCCTCTCCTCCCCTCCTCTCCCTTTCCTCGCCCCTTTCGACCCATCCCTTCTCCCTCCCCCTTCCCTTCTCCCCATCCCTTCGCCCGCTTTTTCTTTCAACTGCAGACGAGCAGCTGGCAGTGGCGCGCAAGCATGAGGAGTACCACCGGGAGAAGTTTGGTTTTGAGAAGTCCAATGTGTCGTTCAGAAAGGGGTTTATCGAGGATCTCAAGGCTGCTAATGTCGAGGACAGGTGGGTGGGTGAATGGGTGGTTGGTGGGTGGGTGGTGTGTGTGGTTGGTTGTGTGAATGAGTGGGTGAGTGGGTGGGTGGCTGGGTGCTTGGGTGGATGGTTGGTCCAACTCAGGAAGGGGTATATAGAGGATCTCAGGGCTGCTAATGTTGAGGACAGGTGTGTGTGTGTGTGTGTGTGTGTGTGTGTGTGTGTGTGTGTGTGTGTGTGTGTGTGTGTGTGTGTCTGTGTGTGTGTCTGGGTGGGTGGATGGGGTTGGGAACATGTGTGAGTATTTCTCGCAAGATGCCTGTCATCAGTGCACCTCGCCGTCCATCCCCTCACCCGCACCACGTTTTTCTTTCTTCAACCTTGCCCCCCCCTTTTCCCCTTCTCCCCCTGCACCCGTCCTTGTCTCCCTTCTCATACACAGCAAGGTGGGCGTGGTGGTATCCAATCAACTGTGACATTAACCTCGTTGACTTTTGAATTGGCTTAAAAAGTCAATTCTCTTTGTTCCCCCTCTCCTCTCCCCTATCAGCTCGGTGGACGTGGTGGTGTCCAACTGCGTCATCAACCTCGCCCCCAGCAAGGTGCCAGTGATTGCCGAGATCGCCCGCGTGCTCAAGACGGGCGGCGAGCTCTACTTCTCAGACGTGTTCGCCGACCGCAGAATCCCCAAGCACCTGCAACAGGACAAGGTGAGAATTAGGAGTAGGGGAGGCACGAATGCAGGGGGGCAGGGGAGCAGCGGGGCAGCGGGGCAGTGGGGCAGGGGGGCAGGCGGGCAGGCTTAGCAGGCGAGTGCCTCAATGACGATTTCTACTTCTCAAACGTGTTTGCCCAACGTAGAATCCCAAAGCACCTGCAACAGGACAAGGTGAGGGGGGGAGGGGGAAGAAGAGGGGAAAAGAGAGAGAGGGGGGAGGGTTGGGGTCAACCCATCGCCTATTTAAAAAAATTCCGACCAAAGTATCCCAAAGCACCTGCGACAGGACAAGGTGAGCAAGTGGGGGCTGGCTCAACCCATCACTGCTTTCCTCATTGCTTACTTCGGCCCTCTCTTGGGGGGGTTGGGGGAGGTGGGGAAGTGAGAGAAGAGCGGGAATGAGACATCCCTTTCAATTTCCCTCTCAAAAGGCACTCTTGTCACGCTCACCTACCTGAGTTGTCACCTTGCTTTTGCGGGATCACCTTGGCGAGTGTCTCAGCTGCATTCTCTTCTTGGTATGATGTCACGCCTCACGGCATCTCACATCCTTTCCATCACCCAATTTCCATCACCTCCCTTTCATCACCCAAATTCCATCACGTTTCTGTCATCTCATCTCCTTCCCATCACCTCACTTCCATCTCCTTTTTTTCCCAACAGAGATCAGGTTCTCTTTGGTGAGTGTCTCAGTGGAGCGCTTTACCTGGAGGATTTCCGCCGCCTCATGGCCTCTGTGGGTCTGGGTGTCTGGACTGGGGGGTCGTTAATCCCTACTCATGCTTTCCCAATCACCCCCTGTGATGTGTTTGTTCTGGCAGGTTCTTTTCGGTGAGTGTCTCAGTGGAGCGCTTTACCTGGAGGATTTCCGCCGCCTCATGGCTTCTGTGGGTCTGGGCGGGTGGGGAGTGGTGGAGGCTCGAGAGCTCGACGTGGAAAATCCAGAGATGGCCGCCCGTGTCGGGCCGATTAAATTCTACAGCTTGACCGTTCGGGCAGTGAAGCTGCCCTCAGGGGCGGGTGACGGGGAAGGCGAGGACCTGCCCGAGAATTACGGGCAGACGGCTACATATTCCGGTTCTATTCCAGGACAAGCAGGGGAATTCACCCTGGACGATGTGAGAATTTTCAAGGCGGGTGTGCCCACGCCTGTGGATGCTACAACTGCTGCCATGCTGACTGTGTCGCGCTACAGCAGTGCATTCACTGTGACTGAGAAGGGGGCTCACCAGGGTCCCTTCACTGGGTTGGCACGGTTTCCAGCGTCAGTGGCTGGTGCCTGGTGGTCTGCTACCGTAGAGAAGGCGAAATCTGGGTGTTGTTGAACTGAATACCGTGAGAGTCATCAATCAGTGCGTTAAACAATGCTCGAAGATGAATGTATGAGTGTGCGTTCATATATGCTGTGATTAATGTGTCGTTGTGACAGGCCTTTGAAGAGTGGAGGTGGTAGCCCTTATCACTCCTTTTTACATGCCAGAGGGAAACAAACGCCATTGGGTGTTAGCATGTTGTACACATTGATTAACGAGATATGCTCTTCCAAGTAATTTCTTGCTATGGTATCATATATATTATGGACTACCCTTTTAGTGAACCACAATTGTTGGAACATTTTATCCAGGATCGTTGATCCAACATGCATGCAGACGCCAAGACACGTCTGCACAAAGGTGCGGGATCTTTCCCCGCAAAATCTGTCTGGTTGGCCCAAACCTTGCTGACGCGTAATGACGACAAAAGGTCCCTTCCGTGCGTGGATGGATGGACTTGCTGGTGCGGCTACAGAACTGCAGCTATGCTTTTTGGTTGTGTACACGTGCCCAGTCAGCATCTTGGGGCAAGATGCTTTCTGATTCGGTAACCTACTTTTCGCCCTAGTTTCTATCCACCAATCCGTGTTGGTATCGGCTAGCGACAGCTCGCGTCTTGATCACGGAGCTCATCTATTTGTTCTGCGAACAAATAGCAACATGACCAAAGCACCCTCACAGCCAATTGCGAAGCGGAATCTGGCATCGTCAACAGTTCGCCCATGCCCGGTCCCAGCCGTGCAATACGAAGCTACCCCGCCCATTTCCCCACCTTCCACAGCAAGCAAGCCCAACATGCCGGTTACCATCGAAATTCGCCGCATCGCTTTCCATCTCAACGGTAGTATCCAGTCCAGGCTGCCCTATCTTCCCCGTCGTAACACCAATTCCCAACTAGCCAAGCATCCAGGCTGGATGATCCACCCCCCGGTCATCTGAATCCACATCCCTCTCCAGGAGGCCTCAAACCAATATTAGTACGAGGCGTTTTGCTTTTGTACCGAACGCAAATCCTGGAAAACGTTTCCAACCCACCCCGATGTCTCTGTTTTGTACTACGGAGCTATTTCGGTGACACACCAGCCTTGTCATATCCGTCCGTGGATCGGTCCGTAACACAATGTCGTTACTCTGCGTATTGGGTGATTCTAGAACTCTAGAACGCTTTCCTCGCCTCGTTGGAGATCCATTGCGGGCTCGCTGCTCACAAGTGGTGACTTCCAAGTTGTCGCGGTTTCGCTCTGTTGGCAAAAAATGGGCTCGCAACGTCGCGACGACGCGACCCACGCTCACACGACAGCAGGGCGGGCGCTGCTATCCAAGCGACGAGCAGCAGTCCTGCCGCTCCACGCGCACCGCGTTGCGTTGCCTTGCGCCAACCTCGGTGCTCGCGTGGCCGACAGCACTACAGAGTCTACGCTGTACAGTACAACAGACTGCCACAGTACAGCAGTAGCAGAAGCATATTCGAGATACCTCAGTAAGAGCGGGGCCCTTACGTCATTCGCGAAGTGGCTTATCTGAGTTCGACGGGTCCCCCTGTCCCAACCCAAGCCAGCTTAGGATTTAGGTTCGTATAAAGCCGACGCGTCGGAGCAAGGCAAAGCAGAAACTCTGAAAGACAGGAAAGCTCCCACCGTGCCTGGCTCCTAATACCCCACCTTCGCCGTTTCTCACTACCGGCTAGCTGAATCTGCTACGAGCGCTTCACCCTGTAATAAGCGAAGGGTATCCATCTGGCTTGCTGCGATCGAATTCGCCGCTTCAACTGAAGCACTGTTTGGTTCACTACGAGAACTAGCGAACGCGCTGTGAAGCCGACAGTCACTGATTTTCAGTAAATATGCTTCCAGTCAGTTCAGACGAAACGCCTCCAAGTATCATTAGTAACGGCGACCCTAAATCCCGCGGCGGGATGATCGTGCGCGGGAATTTCCGGCGGGGCGGAGGATATCGCGCGGATGCGGAATGCAGTGAGCGCGCACGTCAAGCCGCAAGTACAAGTGCTACTAATAGTGCCACTATTCGTAATGACTGGCACGACCTGATCGTTATGAGCCAGCACGATGGTCCCTGCGCGGCCGCCAATGCCGCAGCCACTCGGTTGCTCCACCACCATGACCAGCCCAACGAAAAACCCGGTTACCATCACGACGAAAAACATTTTGTGATGGTAACATCTCGCCGCGTACATCGTCATCACCATCAGCACCGGAATCGGCAGCAGCAGCGTGAGAGTCAGTACCAGCAGCACGGCGGAAGTCCCACGACGACCTTTGACTTCCCCGCATCCCCGCCCTCACTCTCCGCATCTCCGCCCGCTCATTTCGAATCTTCGCCCGCTCTCTCCGCATCCCCGTCCACTCCCCTCTCCCTCTTCCACTCTCCGCGTTCCCGCTGCGCTGCGCGCCGCCTCTCACCCGCACCCGCGCCCGCCGCAGCCACCTCCGCCTCCGCCGCCAGCAGCGCTGGTGCGCGGAGATCAGCCGCCGCCGCAGATGAGACCCTCTCGGCGTCATTATCCTCATTTTCACCATCATCGTCATCCGCACCCCCGTGCTTACCAATGTGCGGCGCGGCGGTTGATAGTAACGTGCAGCCGCGCGCCGTGGGCCTGCGAGAGCTCGAATCGCAGCAGCTGCCGCACCACATGCGACGCGAGAGTCCGAATTTCTCTGAGACGCGTCAGCATGACGAGGTGTCATTTGAGAGAGCAGCAGCAGTGCGCTGGGGGGCGTGGGGCGTGGGGCGGCAGCAGCGGCGGTCACTGCTGTGGCAGTGGTTCCGCGATGCTCCTGATGGACTCGTCTCGTCCTCCGTTGACCTACTCACTCGGGTCAACGCAGTCAACGATCTCAATGCAGCGAACCGAGTCGCTCCAGTCAACGACTCGTTGGCAGCCGTGCAATGCGGCTCGATAGCTGCAGGATCGGGTTCGAACTCGGCCTGTTGCCTTGCAACCAGGGCCGAGCAACGGACGGCCACTCAAACAGAGATGCAGGTGGGGAAGGTGCAAGCGGGGGAGGGGGAGATAGGGAACGTGCAAGTGGGGGAGGTGTTGGGGCGGCCAGTGGAGGACATTCGGCGGGAGTGGCTTCTGCTGAGGAAAGAGATAGGCAGGGGGCAGTACGGCGTGATTCGGAGATGCGTGCACCGCAGCACCGGGGAACACGCTGCGTGCAAGAGCATCCGAAAGTCCGCCATTCAGGTGATGGCGCTGAACTTCCCTGCCCTGACTTCCTTTGCTCTGCCCTCCTTGCTCTGCCCTCCTTGCTCTGCCCTCCTTGCTCTGCCCTCCTTGACCCGAACCCATCCTAGCATCTCTTGCTGCCAGGACAGCCCGTGTCTCCCACGTCGTGTATGTCCTCGTATTAGCCTCGCCCCTGACTTTTGTCGTTCCCATTGTGCAGAGTGCTGCTGACGTGGAGGCAGTGCGGAATGAGGTGGCATTCATGGAGGAACTCGAGGGCCATCCCAATATCATTCAGATCAAGCAGGCTGCCGAGACGAACAAGGTAAAATTTCCGATAGAATTTCCCGCTATTTCATTAATGTTGATAATCTTGCTTCTTCTGCATGCAGTCACGAATGTGCTTCATGTCACTTCTTGGTTTAAGAAATCCAGGCCAATCAACACTTTGTTGTTTTTTTCTATCATGGGTGTGTGTGTGTGTGTGTGTGTGTGTGTGTGTGTGTGTGTGTGTGTGTGTGTGTGTGTGTGTGTGTGTGTGTGTGTGTATCTTTTGCTTTTTTTACCCATTCTGATTCCCATCCACTATTCCCTTCTCACGTAGAATACATGTTCATTCTGTGACACTCATCCCTGCCCTTTTGCCCGTCTTTTCTCTCCACCCCTCCAAACCTTCTTTTCCCCCCACCCCCATTTACTTTTCCCCCTTTCCCTTCCTTGCAGCACGTGCACGTGGTGATGGAACTCTGTGAGGGGGGAGACCTGTTTGACCACATTGACTCGCAAGGAAGGCTCTCGGAACCTTCTGCAGCGCGCATCTTCCGATCGCTCATGCTGGCCTTGCAGCACTGCCACTCGCACGCCATCGTGCACCGCGACATCAAACCCGAAAACGTTCTTGTATCGGACACCACGGCTTATATCGAGGATGTCCCAGGAGCTCTGTTCACCATGTGCCCGGAATCGCCTGAAAGCGTAAAATTGATTGATTTTGGAGTTGCTGCCAGAATGGTTCCCGGTGTTCCTCTTTCTGAGGAGGTGGGGACCGCGGAATACATGGCCCCCGAGGTGTTTTCAGGGGCGTACGGCCGGGAGTGCGATGTGTGGAGCGCCGGTGTCACGCTCTTCATTATGCTCTGCGGCCAGACTCCTTACCTACGTGATAGACCTGTCAACTCTAGCAGCAGCAGCAGCAGCAGAAAGGGCAGCAGGGGCAGCAGCAGTGGGGAGGAGGGAGCGGAAGCTGAAGAGGGTGTGTGGCGGAGGGTGGTGGAGGCGAAGAGGAGGGGGTTCAGCCACAGCCGGAGGTGGCAGGAGCTGTCGTCACCAGCCAAGCATCTCATCATTCACATGCTCTCTGCTGAACCCACCACCCGAATCACCGTGGACGACATTCTTGGTCAGTTGTCGGCTCTATTCAATTTTCTGTCTTTTGATGTGAGTGACATATCTCTGCTGATCCCACCACCCGAATCATTGTGGACGAGATTCTCTGTGAGTTGTAACTTCAATTTTTGTTTCCTTATGAACTAAATAATGTGAGCAATGTGACTTCTGTCGGGGAGGAGGGATGAGGAAGAGGCAAAGGATGTTCATATTTAGGGAACCTCATGTCAGGCTCACACTGAAACCCCCCCAAATCCAGAATCTTTCGCTAGTTTTACCAGGCAAGTCTGATATGAGGTTGCCTGATATGAGGCATAGGAACACGCCCTATTTTTTCGCATGGTCCATGTTATTGAATTTCGTGGTTTTTGTCTGATTTGGTAGTGAGACTGACAGTTGGGATGCGATGTATGGCTGTTTTGCAGAGCATGAATGGGTTGTGGCCTCAGAGGGGAGAGGAAGGACATGGTTGGAACTGGCTCACTAACAATCAAATATTGAAGAACACTGAACAGATGATGTAATTTATTAATATTCTAGCTTGTTAGTCTCATGTTTGCCGTTTTTAGCACTTCTGTATTGTAAAATACCGGTACCTGATTTTGTGAAGTTTTCATGCCCCAATGGTTATCTAGGCAAATGATGTCGTATCATCAACATTTCAAAGGAATGAATTCAGTCTCCGTGTTGCATCTGGAGTATCTCATTGAGCATATAGTAAACTTCTGCCACGTAAACTTCAGCCACGACACGCTGGCTGGCTTTCCGATTGGCTGACTTCACCAAGAAGACAGGCCATGCTGTGGAGCAATGTCCTGCGAAGTCCACGCTTTTCGGAAAGGCTAGAGATTTCCGTTTCTGACCAACTGGTGGCAGACACATCAGCACTCGAGCCGCGTGCGTTTCACGAACTGGTTCTGTTTTTGCCATTGGAAATTTCAGACGAAACTCCCGAAACTGTGCGCTGTGTACGTCGCAAATCCGCAGTCTCATTGCTCCCATCCCATCCCCAAAGCTGGTGGTAGGTGTGTGTGGCGCGAAGTATTGGCCAAAACCAACCCAACCCAAATTAAACTAGCTCAAACCGAGCCAACCCAGTAAACTCTCCGCCTGTCCCTTCCCCATTCTCCATCCTGCTGTGCTCAACTGCAGGTACTCACTTTCTCTGCTTTTAGGCAGGCAAGCAGCAGCATTGCTACTGCTGAGCAGACGAGCTGCACGCCTCAATAGGAATTACACACAAGAGAAGATAGTTTGTCATCGTTCATACTCTTTAGATCCGTCCAAAAAACAGTCACAGACTGACACAACAGTACGGTACAGTGCGTCACCATGCACAGTGCACGTGGAACAGCTAGGCACGTGTTTGCCCGTGGCTTACTCCGCAGATACCGCTTCGGGCGCTTCTTGCAGAGCTGCTCTCCTCCTCCGAGCAGACCGAAAGAATCCTTTCCTCATCCGCGTTGGCTCTCAAGAAGCGTAGTCAGCTTTTCTCCCACGCGCCACTCCGAGTACAAGCACTTTCGCCGAAAGCAGTGTGTACAGCCGTTTAGGTATTCACATTTCAGAGCCCTTAGCTGCACGGGCTCTAAGTTCCGCGTTTAGTACGGAGCTTTGTCAGCTCTTAGCAGCCACGCGTGTTCTTCTACTCCCAATAGCGAGTACTCTCGTTACGCTTGCTGCGTAAGCTAATACGCTGTCCACCAAGCTTGCGCCCCTCATTGGCTTGGCTCCCATCGCATCCCATCATGGATGCCAAACTCATCGAGTCCCCCTCGAGGCGCCCCCTAGGGTTGGAACCGCCGGGGCCGGTAGCGGCGCTGAGTGTGTCAATGTGGCCCTTTGATGAGTCAGCGCCCTCGATCGACCCCCTTCCGCCGCATTCCCTCCTTCCACCCAACGCATCAGCTACTACCTCCGATCGGTACTACTATGAAACGCTCGCCGCGAACGCAAATTTCAGAAGGCCTGTCAGAGTCGCAGCTCAAGTCATTTCCCGAATCCCGCTTTCCGACTGGAAAACATTCGAATGGTGGCCTCTTTGGAGTTCAGCAATCACCCATTCACCGCTTCACACGGCCGTGTTTCTCGCCGTTTCGACCACCAGTAGCGACCGCACGTAGCTTCGACGAACGATCTGGTCTAGCGTTTGGAATCATGTCGTCCGCGCCGTCATCGATTGGCTTCGGCGCCACGACGCGGCGAGCTCGCGGCGCAAACCCTAGTCCTGGCGGCGGCGGCGTGCCATTGCCGCTGAGTTCGAGAAGGTTCTTGGAGATTCACCTCAGCGCGTCCGACTGTGTCGGCGCTTACTGCGGCGGCGTCACCACATCACATCTAGCAGGTATCACATCCGCCATGGATGTCACCTTTGCATTCGCCTCAACGGATGTCGCCTCGAGCCGCAGCCCCGCGACCGCTCTCGATCGAGAAGTCGACTTCCCCGCCTCCCCTTCCGCGTTCTCTTCCGTTTTCCTTCCGCGTACGGCACTTCCGCCCTTCCCTTTCGCCTCACCTTCCGCGCTCTCTTCCCCGTCCCCATTCGCCTTTCCTTTCGCCGAGTCCATTCTTTGGTCGTCCGATGCAGGTCGATTCACCACAATCGACGGAGAACCCACATTTCCCCCCGGGGCCTTCATTGACGGAGGGGCTGCTAACGGTACCGCGGATGACGTGGCGATTGAGGATTGGTTCTGCGAAGTAGCGGCGTTAGGAGTTGGAAAGGCACCAAGGTTGGTGGGGCAGAAGCAGCGGCAGCGGCTGATGCGGGAGTGGTTTGATGATGCTCCTCATAAGCTCGTTTCGCCCGCATTCCCTCAAGTCAACCGAACGAGCCTCGTTGGCTGAGCCAAGTCAACCGAGTCAACTGAGTCAACGCCTTCAATGCATGCAATGCAGTCAATGGAGTCCATGCGGTCAATGCAGCGAATGCAGTCAATGCGGTCAACTCACTTCATATGGCAACAACCCCTCTGCCATGCGATCTGCCAGTCCATGCGATCTGCCAGTCCATGCGATCTGCCAGTGACCATACTGAATGAGGCCTGCGCCTGATGACGCCAGACGCACAGGGTAAGTTACCCTTTTGTGTTACCCTCTACCCCGTTGAAATTGTACGAGTAATATTGTCTGGTGCTCAAACATGTGTTGCCGCGTCTGAATCATTCCAATCCTTCCAACTCGACCCTCCAAGTCAGGACCTTCTGTTGCCATTGCTGACAAATCCCCATTACACTCACCCATTACCCTCACCCATTACCCTTACCTGTGTTGCCGCGTCTGACTCTTTCCAGTCCTTCCAATTTGACCCTCCAATACCCTCGCCCTTCTGTTGCCATTGCTGACCATTCCCCACTACAATCACCCACTACCCTCGCCCTTTGTTCTTGTCCTGTAAACGTTTCTCGCACACTCCTAGCTGTGCGGAAAATAGCTGGCATAGCTCGCACACTCCTACCACGCTCACCCTTGCTTCCCTTTCTTTTCCCTTGTCTCTTTCCATCCCCCCCCGTCTCTTATTGCCACTCCCTTCCCACCCCCCAGCACGTGCGCATGCTCATGGAGCTCTGTGAAGGGGGAGACCTGTTTATATGACACTGCTTATAACGAGGACGTCCCAGGAGCCATGTTCTGCATGTGTCCAGAATCGTCCGAATCTCCTGAAAGCGTCAAACTGATCGAATTGGGAGTCGCTGCAAGAATGGTTCCGGGTGTGCCTCCTTCTGAGGTGGTGGGGACGGCAGGGTATACGGGTCCTGAGGGTTCTCAGGGGCATACGGTTGTGAGTGTAAGAAGTGTAGCGCTGGTGTTACGCTCTTCGTAATACTCTGCAGCCAGGCTCCATTCATAGTGATAGGCCTTTCAACGTCTCTCATGAGAGACTGGAAGGTCATGGTTGCAACAGGCTCAGTGACAATTAAATGCTGTAAAAATAAAATGTACCGTATGCATTGTACTCACATTAATGATGTTACTGAGCTTGACATAGTTGTAATATGTTTATGTCAAAATATATGCCGGTAACATAAATGTGTTACCGTAGGTCTGTTAGGCTGTAGTGAGGTGCATGTTATAGGTTATGGGTGTTGGAAACAAGTACCGTATTCTCCCGGATAACCCCCCCCCCCTCCCCCTCCCCCCCGTAATTGTACACCCCCGGGTAGCTAATACGGGGTGGGTGTTATGTCCGACCCCGTTAGTACTATACCCCCCTTTTTGGGGTGATTCTCTATAACACCCCCCTTTACTTGTAGATTCCTATTATAGCTGTTATCGAGTCCGATTCCTTACGGGAGGATATCGCGAAAATCACTCCCTAGAAGAAATTTCGCATGTACTTTCACTTAGAATCAGCCGAGATATCCCCCCTGCCACAATCTCGCTGTCGCCACGCTGGTGGATCCCAAAATCTCGCTGTCGGCACGCTGACGAATCTTCCATTGCAAGTGGTCCAAGAGGTGAAGTGGCCCAAGTGGCCCAAGTGGCAGGCCCTCAGATTCACTTTTAGGCACGTAAGGGTATCAGGGTCCCTCTGCCCCTAGACCCTGATCGTCAGGGTCGCCTAAAAAAAAAGCCTGAAAGTTCAGTGTTACTTTAAAAAAAAGTCTGATACATCAGTGTTCCCTACAGAAAAAGGCTGATACTAGTACGGTAGTCTTTATTTTACTAGTAGTAAAAACACTAGGAAGGAAGCAAACAGCAGAACGGGATGTGAGGCTGGATGGGAGGTAGCACGGCTGGGAGGCGTGGATGCATCAGTGCTTGCCAGCACGACCTAGACCGCTAGAATCCCTCGCAGCGCAGCCTGCCAGCATCTCTGTGCTGCAACCTTGTAATTGGTCAAGTCACTTAATGTTGCAAATGTGGCCAATGAACGGACCAGGCGCGCCAACTAAGGGGCCATCAATGTGGGCAAAATTGTCCGATAGTCAACGACAGGCCCTGCTGACACCGCGGGAATCTGATTTTCCCAGTACTTCCGGTCAAGTACACTCGTACCTAGTAGGATTCGCTTTCAGTGTCAAACTCGTTACAACGTAAAGGCATCAGTGTCACTTCAAAAAAATTGCTGAAAGTTCAGAGTCATGTGGCATGTGAAGGCTGAAAAATCAGCCCTAGGAAAAGCTGAACACTGGATTTTCAGGGTAGGTAAAAAAAAAACCCTGAAAATCAGGAATTTCAGGGTAAAATTCCTTATATCGTAGGGCCTGCCAAGTGGCCCACAATATCCTCGTACTCGGTTTTGCGGCATTGATCAACAATCTTGAAGTGAAGTCAGACCCCTGATTTTGTTTATCTTTTCTGATTTATAAAAAATATACCATATCATAAGACCCGAGTATTATATAGTATTATCCTTTGAGGAGACCCCCCCCATTTTTTTCCAGTGGTTTTGATAATACCCTAGGTGTTAAGAAACGAGAATGAGTGGTAGTTGAGATTTAAGGCGGGCCTAGGCTTAGTAGCCTAGGCCAAGAGGAAGACGAGGAGTTTGTGCCAAGGTGAGAGTGACGAGAGAATTGGAAAGATGAATGTTCACTATAGTGCTAGGGTACATATAGTAAACAGAGCATGCAAAGAAGGTGCACCACCAACAGTTAATAATAACTACACTAAACTACAACTACAAGCAGTTACATATAAATTCTGACACTCCCCCATAACTGCCTGCAGTAGGAGTTTGTGCAGAACACAACCTATAGGGGTACACAAGCAACAGCAACAGCAGGTACGGTAACAAAGCAGGTACAGCAACAAAGGGATAGGCGACAGCAAGAAATTCCTGCCACCCCCTTACTCTCTTCCCCCCAACCACAGGAGGGGCAGCAGGGAGAGTGAGGAGGCGTGCTGGCTCTGGCTGGTCACCCCCTCCATCTCCTCACCCTCCCCCTCCCCCTCCCCCCCACACTGCTGCAGGAGCAGCAGAGGGGGGAAGAGAGGAAAGGTGGAGGGACGGCTGCTGGTTGGTCTCACACCCGCCACCCCAGTCCCACTCCCCCGGCTCCCCCACACCCTCACACCCTCCCCCCCAGCGGCAGCTGCAGTAGTGGGAACGAAAGGAGGAGGAGGGGAAGGGAAGCACACTACCCATCACTCCAACACCGCCACCCCCATACCCTCCCCCCCACGGCTGCAGGGAGACAAAGGAGGAGGGGGTGGGCGGGGAGAAAGCCGCAGAGCGGCTACAGAGGGTCGGCGCAGGTAGGTCAGGGGCGGCTGCAGGGAGTGCAGGCGCGGGGTGAGGCAGAGGCACCGCCGAGTGCGCCAGGGGCGGGTACTTGGCGGTTCAGGACACCGTCGCAGGCGCCAGGGGCCGTTCCGCGGCGGCTCAAGGGCACCGTCGCGCACCACGGGGCACTTGACGGGCAGTTTAGGGCACCGTCGCATGCCACGGGGCGCACGACGAGCAGGGCACCGTCGCGTGCCACGGGGCGCTCGACTGGCAAGTTTAGAGCACCGTCGTATGCCACGGGGCGCACGACGCGCAGGGCACCGTCGCGTGCCACGGGGCGCGCGACGGGCAGAGAAGATGTCACTCGCCACCCGGGGGCGGGACAGGACGAAAATCGCCACGCGCCCGAGGCGCGCGACCGGAAAAACAGCAGCGGAAGCATAAGGCGGGCCCACAGGCCAGGACGAAACACGCTCTAATGCCATGTTAAGAAACGAGAATGAGTGGTAGTTGAGATTTAAGGCGGGCCTAGGCTTAGTAGCCTAGGCCAAGAGGAAGACAAGGAGTTTGTGCCAAGGTGAGAGTGTCGAGAGAATTGGAAAGGTGAATGTTCACTATAGTGCTAGTGTACATATAGTAAACAGAGCATGCAAAGAAGGTGCACCACCAACACTTTATAATAACTACACTAAACTACAGCTACAGGCAGTTACATATAAATTCTGACACTAGGGTGTTTTATCCGGGAGAATATGGTAATTTAAGCGCCTCTGTCGTGTCGAAGCACTAAGTCGTAAACGAAGTGAAGCATGGCAAAGCATCGGGGAGTCAACCCTCGGAGGTTGAACAACTGCTGGAGGTTACGCGAAAGTCAAAGGTTAGCGACCTTTGACCTGACAAGTACAGCGTGGCACCAAGGATAAACAACTGACTCGTTATTGAGCAGTTGCCCGAGTCGTCACTGTATTGAACCGCAACAGCAACAGTAAAAGCGTTATTAGCTATAACCTTTTGTCAGAATATTATGCTCTAGCCTGTAGTGGGGTGCTTTATAGCGAGTACAACCCTTCTAGGGTTTGCTATTTGTATCCTCATTCTTGCTAGTGCAGCCCTCTTCTTTCTTCTAAACTTTCACATGCAATCAGAGCAGGTCGATCCCCTTGGATCGATCCTGTGGGTGGGCTTACCACCTCCTTGCTTCCGCTGCAACTACTACCACTACACTCGGTGCCGCACGCCCAGTGGCGTGTGGCAGTTTTTCTTCCCGCCGTGCGCCCCGAGGCGCGTGGCGGTTTTCTCGGGGCGCACGGCGGTTCTCTGCCCGCTGTGCGCCCCGAGGCGCGCGGCGGGCTTCGGCCCCGTCGTGGCCTGAGCGCGGCCCGTACAGGCAGCGCGCGGCCCGTACGGGCTGTGCCTGGCCTGCGCGCGGCGCGTACCGGCAGCGCGCGGCCCGTACGGGCTGCGCCAGGCCCGCGCACCACCCGTACGGGCTGCGCCAGGCCCGCGCGCGGCCCGTACGTGCGGCGCCAGGCCCGCGCGCGGCTCGGGCCGCCTGCGCGCGGCTCGGGCGACCCTACCTGCGGCTCTGGCCCCGGCCCCGTCGCCCTACCTACGGCACCGCCTCCCCCCCCCCCCCCCCCCCCCCCCCCCCCCCCCCCTTCCCCCCCTTTTCCCG